ATGTGATTTTTTTCCTCTACAAAATGTATAAGGCAGTATTATTTTCATTGGAATAGTGTGATTGGAATATAACAGATTATCTAGAAGTCTTGCAGTTACATGATGCAGTGCTTCAACAGTTGGCTGTGTGTTAGTGGGAAGGAGCAGTGAGGAATGATCTAGAACAGACAGGCAGGCAGCTCTGTGCCGGTTTGGTTATTGAAGCATTTGTTCCTTCAGTATGGAGAGTTAGCAAACAGGCATTGGACATCTACTGGACAGATTTATAGAGCTTCCAGTAAAGAATTTCAGCATGATAAATAATGGAAGTCTGCAAAAGCATATATTTCTGTTATGTATTTATTTACATCTATACTTTTTCCATCTATATATTTATGTTTTGTATAACTTTGTATAACTGTTTTTTCCCTTAGCCATTTTAGATAGTTTGATTTTTTGCTTACCAGCTGAAGTGGTAAAGATTAAGAATAGAGGTGTTGAAAATTGTCTGAATTCATTTTGCTTTTCTGAGTATATAATTTTAGTTTAAGACCCGGCAAAAAATACATGCTCCTTTAGTAAATCAGCACTGCTTTTTTATTCTTAAGTTCCATTCATAAATTTTCTGTACTAAATTTCCCTAGGCAGTGTATTAAATCATTAACATTTCAGAAACATTTGAATCAATCTTATATTTTTTTTTTTGGTGATTTAATTGTAAAAATTAATATATTGTTTTTGAATGAGATAAGTGAAATGTAAAATTGTTCTTTTAAATAGGAGCTGGGAATAGTTAAAACTTAGAATCATAGAGTTGCCCAGGCTGGAAGGGACCTCCAAAGGTCATCTGGTCCGACCCCCCCGCCGTCAGCAAAACTTGATAATTTATTATTCTCTGGACCTGGTCCCGACCACCATTGTTCTCCAGATGTCCTTCAGGAAGTTGTTGTGGCATGGGCCAGATGAGGGAAGAACTTTTGTCTTCCAGCTTGTTCGTTGTGCTCAGAGTCTCTCAGGAGAAGGATGTCCACCCGCAGTAGAGCACATGTGCAGCAAATCCCCTGTTTTAGCAACAGTCCTAACTTTCAAGCACGATCAGTTGTCAGGGTGCACGTGTTAGTGGCTGGGGGAAAAGGACCTGGGGTGCTGCTGGTCAACAGCTGGCTGAGTATGAGCCAGCAACGTGCTCAGGTGGCCAAGGAGGCCAAGGGATAGTCCCTGAGTACAGGATAAATCCAAACAGACACACACCACGATATGCTAGATGAAATCTGTAAACACAAAGGAAAGAAAGATCAACACGGACAAGTGGAAGGTCTTGCTTCTAGGAAAACATAAGCCAGGAATTCCACAGGCTGGGATCGACCTGGCTGGGGAGCAACTCTGTGGAAAGGGGTTTGGGGTCCTGGTGGGCAACAGGGTCAATAGGAGTGACCAGTGCGGTGCTGCTGTGGGAGGGAAAGCCTTGAGAAAAGAAGGTTTAGGGGAAACCTTATCAGTGTGTTCCAGTATTTAAAGGCTGGCTACAAAGAAGATGGAGACTCCCTTTTTACTAGGAGTTGCATGGAAAAGACAAGAGGTCATGAGTACAAGTTGCTCCTGGGGAGATTCCAATTGGACACAAGAAGAAAATTTTTCATAATGAGAACAATCAGCCATTGGAATAAGTTCCCCAGGGAAGCAGTGAATTCCCCAACGCTGGACACTTTCAAAGTTCAGCTGGACAGGGTGCTGGGCCATCTTGTCTAGACTGTGCTTTTGCCAAGAAAGACTGGACCAGATGATCCTTGAGATCCCTTCCAAACCTGGTATTCCAATCATTATCCCACTCTATTCAGCACTTCTCAGGCCACACCTGGAACACAGTGTTCAGTTTTGGTCCCTGCTGTTCAACAAACATATGGACAGGCCAGAGAGGGTCCAGAGAAGGGACATAAAGATGAGCAAAGGACTGGAAAGCCTGCCGTATGAGGAAAGGCTGAGAGAACTGGGTTTGTTCAGTCTTGAGAAAGGAAGGTTTAGGGGAAACCTTATCAATGTGTTCCAGTATTTAAAGGCTGGCTACAAAGAAGATGGAGACTCCCTTTTTACTAGGAGTCGCATGGAAAAGACAAGAGGTCATGAGTACAAGTTGCTCCTGGGGAGATTCCAATTGGACACAAGAAGAAAATTTTTCATAATGAGAACAATCAGCCATTGGAATAAGTTCCCCAGGGAAGCAGTGAATTCCCCAACGCTGGACACTTTCAAAGTTCAGCTGGACAGGGTGCTGGGCCATCTTGTCTAGACTGTGCTTTTGCCAAGAAAGACTGGACCAGATGATCCTTGAGATCCCTTCCAAACCTGGTATTCTGTGATTGAAACCTCTTTTATTTTTCCTTTTTTTTTTTTTTTTTTTTTTTTTTTTTTAAGAGACAAACCAATCATTATCCCACTCTATTCAGCACTTCTCAGGCCACACCTGGAACACAGTGTTCAGTTTTGGTCCCTGCTGTTCAACAAACATATGGACAGGCCAGAGAGGGTCCAGAGAAGGGACATAAAGATGAGCAAAGGACTGGAAAGCCTGCCGTATGAGGAAAGGCTGAGAGAACTGGGTTTGTTCAGTCTTGAGAAAGGAAGGTTTAGGGGAAACCTTATCAATGTGTTCCAGTATTTAAAGGCTGGCTACAAAGAAGATGGAGACTCCCTTTTTACTAGGAGTCGCATGGAAAAGACAAGAGGTCATGAGTACAAGTTGCTCCTGGGGAGATTCCAATTGGACACAAGAAGAAAATTTTTCATAATGAGAACAATCAGCCATTGGAATAAGTTCCCCAGGGAAGCAGTGAATTCCCCAACGCTGGACACTTTCAAAGTTCAGCTGGACAGGGTGCTGGGCCATCTTGTCTAGACTGTGCTTTTGCCAAGAAAGACTGGACCAGATGATCCTTGAGATCCCTTCCAAACCTGGTATTCTGTGATTGAAACCTCTTTTATTTTTCCTTTTTTTTTTTTTTTTTTTTTTTTTTTTTTAGCCATGGACAAGATAGCTAAGAAGGTCAAAAAAATTAAGCAGAATGCTGAATTGCTTCAGTTGAATTGCATTAAGGCATTTTGCTATGACGGAACAAAGGCACTTTCAGTTGAGAAGAGAGAGGATGAACAAGGTAAAAAGTAAACAATTTGGATAGCAGTAGCTTTTAGAAGAAAATAGTAATCAGTTTTGCACTAATAGTATTAAACCTGCCACAGGTCTTCACGTCCTTGAAATCTTGGCAGATACCTAGGTTGCTTCAGCACTGTGAATGCTCTCTTATTTCCACCCTTTTGTGATTATCGGCTTCTCCATGAAGCTAACATAGAACTCAAACTATCTGTCCTTATCACAACCTCAAAGGTTGCTCAGAGGAAATGCATTCCTTTCCCAGATAATATCAAAGGCAGAAGAAGCCTTAAAGCTTTCGTGATAATGTTTAACCCCATACTCTGAATTGTTTGACTTCATCTGAGAAAAAATTTCCTTTTGCAGAACTGCTTGCTTTTCTGCCTTAGAATGCCCATCTGTAAAATGGGGTTATTAATACCTAACTCCCAGGAGTGCTGCAAGGTTTAGTTCATTGATGTTTGTTCAGCTGTTCAGGGGAATGTTCTATAGAAGCACAGTGTGTATTATTTTAAGTTAATTTCATTTGCTTTTCTGAAGTCCTGTATTTATGATACTGGTTCTGTTCCCATGATGGACCAATTTAAATGGTATCTGCTGCCTTGATTATTTTTAGTTTGTTGTGCAAAGTATGCTGTTCTTTCTTACTTTATTCTATCGTGGTCACTGGTCAGCCTCAGTAGGAATCAGATTGCTTAATTCACCTCCCTTCTCCCTGTGCTTTGCAGTTATTCGTGCTTTGCAGGAATAAGGGTACTTTACTTTCTTAATAGTCACACAGAATCACAGAACCACATGGGGTTGGAAGGGACCTCTGGAGATCATCCAGTCCAACCCCCTGCCAAAGCAGGTCCACCCAGAGCAGGTTGCACAGGAACGTGTCCAGGTGGGTTTGAATGTCTCCAGAGAAGGAGACTCCACCACCTCCCTGGGCAGCCTCTGTCAGGGCTCTGCCACCCTCACAGGAAAGAAGTTCCTCCTCATGTTTAGGTGGAACTTCTTATATTCAGGTTTGTGCCCATTTCCTCTTGTCCTGTCCCTGGGCACCACTGAAAAAAGACCAGCCCCATCCTCCTGACACCCTCCCTTTCAGTATTTATAAGCATTGATCAGATCCCCCTCTAGAAAGCCCCAAGTCCCTCAGCCTCTCCTCATAAGAGAGGTGCTCCAGGCCCCCAATCATCTTTGTAGCCCTCTGCTGTACCCTCTCCAGCAGTTCCCTGTCATTCTTGAACTGGGGAGCCCAGAACTGGTCCCAGTGCTCCAGCTGGGGCCTCCCCAGGGCAGAGCAGAGGGGCAGGATGACCTCCCTCCACCTGCTGGTCACTCTCTTCCTGATGCCTCCCAGGATGCCATTGGCCTTCTTGGCCACCAGGGCCCATTGCTGGCTCATGGTCATCCTATTGTCCACCAGGACTCCCAGGTCTTTCTCCTCAGAGCTGCTCTCCAGCAGGTCACCCCCACCCTGTCCTGGTGCAGGGGGTTATTCCTCCCCAGGTGCAGCACCCAACACTTGCCATTATTGAATTTCACCCAGTTCCTCTCTGCCCAACTCTCTAGCCTGTCCAGGTCTCACTGGATGGCAGCATGAGTCTTTCTATGAACATAAAATACGGACATATTTTATGGACACAGAATATTGGTATGTAGCACTTACACAGATGTGAGTCTTTCTATGGACATAAAATACGGACATATTTTATGGACACAGAATATTGGTATGTAGCACTTACACAGATGAACGAGAGCTAGCTGTAAAACTGAGGGGTCATTCAGGCATTTCTGTACAGCTCTGCAAGTAAGACATGACATATTTTGAACATTATCGTAATGGATCCGAGGTAGATAAGTCAGTAGTGCCAAAATAGACTCATTTTGTAGTGCCAGAACAAGCTAAGTAGCAGTAACATGAAGTCACCCACTTGTTTTCACTTGTGACCCGAACTTAATTATTTGAAGAACAGGAGAAAAGAAGGTAGAGCATATATATGGCTCTGTTCCTCATTGGTCAGTCACAGACACACGGATGGAGCCACTTTGGTCTTGGGGCTGCTGAGCTGAAGAGTCTCTCTGGCATTCAGGGATAGAGGCTTTCGGGCTGTTGAGCCAGTGGGATTTGCTCTGCATTTAGAAGTCATGGATTCCCTTATCTCTCCAGGTAGTATTCAGAAATTGATATTGTCTTCACAATCCTTGTTTATTGAATTGTTCTGCTGCAGAGACAGCGTGTGTTGCGTGTTAGAACTTGTAATATTTCATGTAATTATGAAGTGCTTTCTTCTCTACATATATGTGCATTCTAAGAAATAGTTATTATATAGACAGTCCTATTATTATTATTTAAGGCAGTCTTAATGGTTAACTACAGGCTTCTCTCCGTAAAGAATTGCCCCCTTGGTTCAGTTATGACATGACTGGTTCAGTACAGCCTGTACGTACAGCTCCGTACCTCTGACCAAGCATATGTCAACATTTTTGTTTGATTACTGTTAAATTGTACTTTCACATTCTTAAATTAAGGTCAATAAATATGATTGCCTAAAGGGATCATGTATTGTTTGAGCAAACAGAACTGAAACTCTTTAGTTTTCTGGGAGATGACATCCATCACCAGCAGTGCTGAGGCTTGTCTCTAGCTTAGATTACTTTGGGGACACCATCTATAGAACACAAATGTTCTACGTCAAGGAAGCGGTTAACAGTTTGTCCTTATCCCTGGTGAATTCTCAAGGAAAGAAACAGCCACATTTTACATTCCTAACTGCTTTTTACAGAAGGACCTCCATTCTTACCAGAGTCATTTGATCGAATTCTTCTTGATGCTCCATGTAGTGGGATGGGACAGAGACCAAACATGGCTTATTCCTCAACTCTAAGGGAAGTGACCTCTTACCAGCCACTACAGCGCAAGCTGTTCACTGTGGTATGTATTAATCACTGAGTAGAGAGGGAAAATGTATGTTGAATTTAGCTTATCTTTTCAGAAGTTAAGTAAAGAAGATAGTCTTAAGATTCAGTGAACCTTTCAGCTCCACCATAGCTGTTGCTAGGTGAAGTCAACTTACTGGAGCATGGGAAAAGTAGATACAAGCCATAGTAAACAAAAAACTTTTTTTATTCCTTCAGTTTTATCGGTTTGAATTGATAATAATTGCAAGGTTTTAAGTCATGGAGCAGGTTAAAGTCTCTTCTCTGCAGCATCATGAGCTCTTTAAGTTCAGTGCACAGACCTCCCATGCAGTGGTGCTGTGAGGTGTATGAGATGGAGTACAGAGCCAGGACGCCGTGTGACAACTTTTAATGCTAATAGGACTGTGCTTGGGGTGATGCAGAAAGATAAGATTTCATGAAACTTGTCCAATTCTGATTTCTGTGTGTTCGAAGTGAGCTTGAATTGCTTGAAAAAGCAGCGCACCAAATATATGGAAATGGTTACATGGACATCAAATATCACTGACAAAAATATTGTGTGTCCCTGGTTGGCAGCAGGTGGTGACAACCAGAACTAACCTGTCTGGGATACGCAGAGCTGTGCAGGTAACACATCTCACAAGGTGAATCATCCCAAGGGCACTAAGAGACCTCACCTGGAGTATTGTGTGCAGGTCTGGAGCCCTCAATATAAGAAGGACGTGGACCTGATGGAGCGGGTCCAGAGGAGGGCCACGAGGATGATCAGGGGGATGGAGCACCTCTGCTACGAGGACAGGCTGAGGGAGCTGGGGTTGTGCAGCCTGGAGAAGAGGAGGCTCCGGGGAGACCTAATAGCAGCCTTCCAGTACCTGAGGGGGGCCTACAGGAAGGCTGGGGAGAACCTGTTTAGAAAGGCCTGCAGTGACAGGACGAGGGGCAATGGCTTCAAGCTGGAGGGGAACAGATTTAGACTGGAGATGAGGAGAGGGTTCTTCACTGTGAGGGTGGTGGAGCACTGGAACAGGTTGCCCAGGGAGGTGGTTGAGGCCCCTTCCCTGGAGATATTCAAGGAGAGGCTCGACGAGGCCCTGGGCAACCTGGTCTAGTTGGGGGTGTCCCTGCTGACTGCGGGGGGGTCGGACTAGATGGCCTTTGGAGGTCCCTTCCGGCCTGGACAATTCTATGATATGATTCTATGATAATGAACTGCATGAGCTCTACAGCTGATTTGGAAAGAACCTTCCCAATCCACGGGCTCCTTTACTGCATTCCCTGAGAAGTATCACAATGCCTGGCTTAGACAGAAAGATTTGAGTTTGATTAAGCGCTAACTTTTAATATTAATAGCTTAATGGATTCTTGGTTAATGTTGCTTCAAGTTTTTACATTTTAAAAATAAGCTGAACTATTGTTTATGTCTCCCTGCAGGCCGTGAAATTGCTGAAGCCAGGAGGTGTTTTAGTATATAGCACATGTACAATTACACTCTCTGAAAATGAGGAGCAAGTTGCTTGGGCCCTGAAAACTTTTCCGTGCCTCCAGCTTCAACCCCAGGTAATATTTTCAGGGTCCTTCACACAACCCAATGAGCTTGTTTTGGCGCTGCAAAGTTACATGCTACATTTTATTATCAAGAAATCTCTTTTTCACTGCAGACAATTTTAACTGCTGTGGATAGAAATATCACAAGGATTTCTGAGGCTCTTTTAAATCTATTTTAGTGTTTAATTGAGCTTCATTTAGGGAATGTTAAGTAGTTTCCCACTGTGTACTGGGGTTGTTTTGATTTGTACAACAGTCATTTAAAACAACACGGACAAAAGATAGTTCAAACAGGTCAAAATTTCTTTCGCAATTCTTAATGTGTTTATCTTATTTTCTGGTTTTGCACCTTCACAGGAGAGGTGAAAAGTTTTATTAATGCTACTGCAGTAGTGAAGACTTGCATAAAGGGTGGGGAGATAAATGGAAAGAGCCTTGTGTTTTGAGGAAGGAGGATTTTACATGTATGAGAGCTATTTTTGTGTTATTTTAAGGAATGAAGGAATAAATTTATTTCAGGCTCAGTTTCCCAGGAATGTACCTTGTCTTTTTTGGCATCAGTGCCTACCATTAAGATGTCTAGGAGGAGGAGATACTAGATTATTTTTTTTTATCTATACTGCATACATTTCAAAAATACCTGCATGATATTTTACCTTTATTCATACCTTGAGAGAATTTCTCATCAGACCACATGCACCTCTCTCCTCCTTTGTTGATGTGATGAGTTGGGTGGGTTACTGGTTTATCGTCATGGCTTTGAGGAAAAGTCTGACTCTGATACCTATTTAGCTTGCTTACACGTTCTGTGATGACTTCTATCTGTCTTTAAGGAGTTTAGATGCATCTTTTAACTGAAATTTTAAAAAATGTATACAATAGGTGTACAATGAGAAATTATAGGAAGGCTGGTAAAGATTTAAGAAAACTGAAGCTTTTCTTAAAAGATTTGTATATCAGGTTCTTCTGCCTGCTTTCCTCACCATCCATTTACTATGAATTTATCATTCCAACTGTTTCAGCTGAGGTTATACACTTTACCTAACTGCATAAATATTGTCCTTGATAGAATGACAAAGCAGAACACAAGCCCCATGAATTCAAATGCAAGATTAATTCTGGTTTGATGGACTTCCTCTCACCAGTAATACAGTCTTAAATAAAGTAGTTTTCATACACAAATGCTCTATCTGTGTGTAAAAATCTTTAAGTGTATACTGTATTTTCAATGAGATGACACTGAATTGTTTATCCACAGATGGTTTCTAGTATCTTACGAGCAGTTCCCCAGTAGTTTAAGATAAGGTGATCTTTTCCAATGAACAGGAGACTGGAGCTCTCAGCTCAACTTACCTCATACTCCTTTATGTGTTTCCCATATTCTTTAGTCTCTCAGTGCACACCTGCTCTATACTCAGTCCTCTGCCTCCTCCCAGCTCAACTTACCTCATGCTCCTTTATGTACTTCCCATATTCTTTAGTCTCTCAGTGGACACCTGCTCTATACTCAGTCCTCTGCCTCCCACTTCCTCACTTTGGCAACAGGTCCTGGAATTAGGCTGGGTAAGGAAAAAACAGGAGATGGAGCCATGAAGTGTTGATCTCATTAGGTGGAGGTGACTGCAGGGCAGCTGGTCCCCACTTCCTCACTTTGGCAACAGGTCCTGGAATTAGGCTGGGTAAGGAAAAAAACAGGAGATGGAGCCATTAAAGTGTTGATCTCGTTAGGTGGAGGTGACTGCAGGGCAGCTGGTCCTTTGCCTGTGCAGACTTACTTCCTCTTGGAGTTGTACAGGAGGTACTGGATAGATCAGCTTAAATGCAATAACTTCACTGGAAAGAAAAAGGAAGGAAAAGGTAGAGGAAAAAATTGGTCTGTCTTTCAGCAAGTCACTTGAGCCTGAGTAATACTGTTTTCCCTGGACTTTTACCTTTCCACCCTCCCATTACATTACTCCAAGTCCTTATCCCTGTCTAGTTCTCTACGTTATTTTTTTCTCAAATGTCAATGGGCACCTCTTTTTGTCTCTTAACTGCAATCCTGCAGAGGGAAAGGAAGAGAGAGCCTCAGGCTGCAGCCTCTCAGCTTCCCAGCACACAGTACATGGTGAAGGAACTAACCTGCATCATGTGCTGACTGGGTGAGCTCACGTTTGAGCAAAAAGTGTGATGGCTCAAAAAATGCCCTGCTGTCGGCTGCATTATAGACTAGACTAGACCAGATTGACAAAGGAGATTTATTTTTGATATTCCAATGCCAGCTTTTGCACATTTTATGCTGTCTCCTACTGAATGCATTGAAAGAACAATCTAGCTAAGAATTAGATTTTTCCAGGAGCCACTATATTAAATAAAAACCAGTCAAGACTACTTGCAAGAAATGCTGAGAAAGATTTTTAAGTCCTTCTCCCCGGGATTTTGATGCCAAATGTCATCTCTTGAATTTAAATACTTGAGCTGTTCCTTCCTTCCTTTCTCTGCCTTCTGTACATACACATGTAGCAATCATCCCATTTACCTGTTAGTCCAATTACATGACATCATAGGAAATCTGAAGGACAGATTTTTCTGCTGCATCATCTTCCAAAACGATGCCTCTTCAGGCAGTAAAGTATTCTGGATTTGGGCTTTCAGTCTCTCCATTTGAGGTTTTTAATGTGAGGAATCCAGGTCTTTTTACTCCTGTTACTGGAATCACTATTTTTGTCTTGGCTCATAGCTGTTAGTCAGTACACAGAAGAGCTGCCTCATTTAAAAGTGAAAAACCTAAAGGCTTTAGAACTTGTTAGTGTCTGCTGGTAACGGCTTCCTTGTGATATTTCAGTCCTTTGAGTAATGACTTGATCTGGCCTCAGTAAGTGCTCTGAGCTGAAGTGGATTAGGCACAGCCCAACCTCCTTAAAGTGCTTTGGAGCTTCTATTTATGCTTTTATACATATTGGCCAGATGAAGGCAAGAAAAGAAGGGGCTGCATTACATCTGAATCCTCCCCTGGTGTGAGTGATATCAACCTAGCTTTGTTTGATGATATAAATGATATAATGATAATAAACCACCTTAACAGGCAGCACTGCCTATACGCAGTGGAGTACATTCAGGACATTTAAGAACTTTTTTTTTCCTTTCTGACTCAAAAAGGAACCTCATATCGGAGGAGAAGGCATGAGGGGAGCTGGGCTGTCGGGTGACCAGCTGAAGCTGCTGCAGAGATTTGATCCAGCTGCTGGGACGCTGCAAGGAATGGATATTAATTCTTTGCAAGATTCCAGGGAAGATGATCTGATTTCGCTGGCAAATAAGGACTGTATAGGATTTTTTATCGCAAAGTTTATTAAATCGGACAGTAAATAAGCATGGAGGAATGCACCCTGGAAAAAAACCCACTTCTGTGACCAGTTCTAAGAACAGTTCAGACATGAAGTGTGTTTCTTAGGGCTGCCATGCCGTTGCCAAGCCAACGGGCTGACAGCAGGGTTGCTATGGCAGCACCAAAATCTGCCAGCAGTTCTGCTGGGAAGGAGCCACAGGTTGCAGAGGGGGAAAAAAAAAAATGGGGGAAGGGGAGTATCATTTTTAAGTCTCCATTTGCTTTTGTGTCTGCAGCAGGTCAGCGTGTGAGTGAGGAGGGTGTGCACCCCTAGGGCTCCCTCTCCTCCCTCACCCCGCTCTCTACAAAATGCAAACATAAAAGAGATGGGAACTACTGTGAATCCTGGAAAAAGGTAGCTCCTAGGGAGGTTCACCAATCGTCGATGCTTCACAAAACACTGTCAGATTTTTACAAAGAACTGGTTTATAAATGGATACTTAGAACCTCATTTCTCTTTTATTTTAATACAAGCAAGATTCTCTGTACACATAGTATATACACAAAATACGATTAGGCTTTGTAGCATGTCTTTTATAGCAGCATGAATATATTAAACCATCTCACTCTGGGAATGTAAATAAATATTGTTTCAACATCAAACTTCCCATGCATAACTGTATTGGTTCTGAAGTAGCCTATTAGACTGGCTGACAAGTGACAATTTTAAAATCAAACATTTGCAACAGAAGGGGCTACAGTTGTGATTAATATATCAAAAGACAGAAAACAATGCATAATACCAGCTGAAATGTTGCAAATCACCTTTCAAACAACTAAGAATATTAACTCTTTATTGGTTAGAAAGCATCACCAGCTATAAAATCATAATAAAAATTGAAACTGGGGAAGCATGCTAATGAGAACTGACTTAATCCACTGCTCAAAGTTTTCATAATGTAAATTTTTATCTTTGAAATGTATTTTTGATGTATTTGAAAACTCTGCTTCAGTTCCAGAGGTGTTCTCCATTTGAACAGTATTCTCTCTTTACTCAGTACTGCTGGAACTGACAATAGCACTGAAATTAGAGGGAAAAGGTAAGTACAATTCAAAAGCATAAACTGACATCTGTGTTTGGTTTTTTTCCTCTCACTCATCAATTTCCAGTTTTTAAAAGCGTTATCTGAAAAACGTCTGTCTTCTCACACGTAACTGTTAGGTTGGATTAAAAAGAGCAACACTCCTCCTAGAATTTATTTTTATACTGTCAGAAGTGCTTTTGCATTTGCTCGAACTCAAAACAATTTATACAACTCTGTTTCTCAGTAGTCTGGTTGTTTACTTCTATCATCCCATTTACCTGTTAGTCCAATTACATGACATCATAGGAAATCTGAAGGACAGATTTTTCTGCTGCATCATCTTCCAAAACGATGCCTCTTCAGGCAGTAAAGTATTCTGGATTTGGGCTTTCAGTCTCTCCATTTGAGGTTTTTAATGTGAGGAATCCAGGTCTTTTTACTCCTGTTACTGGAATCACTATTTTTGTCTTGGCTCGTAGCTGTTAGTCAGTACACAGAAGAGCTGCCTCATTTAAAAGTGAAAAACCTAAAGGCTTTAGAACTTGTTAGTGTCTGCTGGTAACGGCTTCCTTGTGATATTTCAGTCCTTTGAGTAATGACTTGATCTGGCCTCAGTAAGTGCTCTGAGCTGAAGTGGATTAGGCACAGCCCAACCTCCTTAAAGTGCTTTGGAGCTTCTATTTATGCTTTTATACATATTGGCCAGATGAAGGCAAGAAAAGAAGGGGCTGCATTACATCTGAATCCTCCCCTGGTGTGAGTGATATCAACCTAGCTTTGTTTGATGATATAAATGATATAATGATAATAAACCACCTTAACAGGCAGCACTGCCTATACGCAGTGGAGTACATTCAGGACATTTAAGAACTTTTTTTTTCCTTTCTGACTCAAAAAGGAACCTCATATCGGAGGAGAAGGCATGAGGGGAGCTGGGCTGTCGGGTGACCAGCTGAAGCTGCTGCAGAGATTTGATCCAGCTGCTGGGACGCTGCAAGGAATGGATATTAATTCTTTGCAAGATTCCAGGGAAGATGATCTGATTTCGCTGGCAAATAAGGACTGTATAGGATTTTTTATCGCAAAGTTTATTAAATCGGACAGTAAATAAGCATGGAGGAATGCACCCTGGAAAAAAACCCACTTCTGTGACCAGTTCTAAGAACAGTTCAGACATGAAGTGTGTTTCTTAGGGCTGCCATGCCGTTGCCAAGCCAACGGGCTGACAGCAGGGTTGCTATGGCAGCACCAAAATCTGCCAGCAGTTCTGCTGGGAAGGAGCCACAGGTTGCAGAGGGGGAAAAAAAAAAATGGGGGAAGGGGAGTATCATTTTTAAGTCTCGAAAAAAAAATGTCACGGCTGGGGGAAGGGGAGTATCATTTTTAAGTCTCCATTTGCTTTTGTGTCTGCAGCAGGTCAGCGTGTGAGTGAGGAGGGTGTGCACCCCTAGGGCTCCCTCTCCTCCCTCACCCCGCTCTCTACAAAATGCAAACATAAAAGAGATGGGAACTACTGTGAATCCTGGAAAAAGGTAGCTCCTAGGGAGGTTCACCAATCGTCGATGCTTCACAAAACACTGTCAGATTTTTACAAAGAACTGGTTTATAAATGGATACTTAGAACCTCATTTCTCTTTTATTTTAATACAAGCAAGATTCTCTGTACACATAGTATATACACAAAATACGATTAGGCTTTGTAGCATGTCTTTTATAGCAGCATGAATATATTAAACCATCTCACTCTGGGAATGTAAATAAATATTGTTTCAACATCAAACTTCCCATGCATAACTGTATTGGTTCTGAAGTAGCCTATTAGACTGGCTGACAAGTGACAATTTTAAAATCAAACATTTGCAACAGAAGGGGCTACAGTTGTGATTAATATATCAAAAGACAGAAAACAATGCATAATACCAGCTGAAATGTTGCAAATCACCTTTCAAACAACTAAGAATATTAACTCTTTATTGGTTAGAAAGCATCACCAGCTATAAAATCATAATAAAAATTGAAACTGGGGAAGCATGCTAATGAGAACTGACTTAATCCACTGCTCAAAGTTTTCATAATGTAAATTTTTATCTTTGAAATGTATTTTTGATGTATTTGAAAACTCTGCTTCAGTTCCAGAGGTGTTCTCCATTTGAACAGTATTCTCTCTTTACTCAGTACTGCTGGAACTGACAATAGCACTGAAATTAGAGGGAAAAGGTAAGTACAATTCAAAAGCATAAACTGACATCTGTGTTTGGTTTTTTTCCTCTCACTCATCAATTTCCAGTTTTTAAAAGCGTTATCTGAAAAACGTCTGTCTTCTCACACGTAACTGTTAGGTTGGATTAAAAAGAGCAACACTCCTCCTAGAATTTATTTTTATACTGTCAGAAGTGCTTTTGCATTTGCTCGAACTCAAAACAATTTATACAACTCTGTTTCTCAGTAGTCTGGTTGTTTACTTCTATTTGCTAGAAATGTTTTGATAGGTTATGTTTTCTACTGTTCTTAAATAAAATACATCCCTTCTTTTTTTCTGTCAAGGCTGTAGGGCCTCTCCTGGCAGGGCAGGAGATGGAATTCTTGTCTGCTTTCATTGGTCACTCCTTGCCATTAACCACACCAAGTCTAAGGAAGATGTAAAGTTTCATCAGTAGTAGGTGAGAGATCCTATTTAGACCCATGATAGCTCATGCTGTAAATTACAGTCCTCTTAGTCTAAATATGGCTAAAATAATTACTTAGGAACAACAGGGATCAGTCTTTCATTTTAAGTACATGTTGAGATCTTTCACTCAATGCTAGTAAAAAAAGCATTTTCTTTTTGCAGAATGTATAAATTCTGTAAACATTATTCAGCAAACATAGATTATATAGTGAAATTTGTGTATGCATATAAAATAAGGAACTTTGTCTCCAGTTTCAGTAGCAGGATTTTTGCGATGCTGAATTTGAAAGAATTAGGATTGCTGATGTTTTAGTGGAAAATTTCTTGAGACTTTTCCAGATTTCTTTAGTTTTGAATGATAAACAGGCCTTTCTAGAAGGTGATCTCACTTGATTTTATACAAGAAGTTTTGGGGGGGCATTGGGGGGAGAGAAATAGTAACTGACTTGTGTTTGATTCCAGTGTAAATGCAGACCAGACTTAACCGGAAAAAACTTACTGGTATCTGAACTTTAACTACTAGAGTTGTTTCTGCAAAAGTCAACTGCCTGACTTAAAAGAACACTTAGCATATTAAAGGAATAAGCCTCATCAGCTGTGCCCCTGGGCTGCTCTCTCTGTTGGTAATTGGGGAGGCAATTTGGAACAGAAACTCAATTAAGATGCTCCAAATCATCCCTTGAAGGAGCCAGTGTCCTTTCCTTGACTACAGACTTGGCTAAATTCGATGGCTAAAGTTGGATGGATGCCCTTCCTATTTTTCTTTTCTTTCTTTACCAATCTTCCTGTGACTTTAGAAGTGTAGGAATACTTTGTCACAATTTTGACATATGGTGTATATATTTATTTTTAATACATAATAGTATTACTTTCCTGGTAAGAGTGCTTTACACTCTGAATAATTACGCTTCAGTGTTTGGTGCTGAAGCACAATAGAATATATTTATATATATAATATATGAGATATTTATATATTAAATTGAAAAAAGTTATTGTCATTGTACTGAAAGATTAACCCTACAAAACAGACAGATCAGGCATGCAATCAGATCCTGGCTTTAAGAAAGTCTGAAAAGTAGTTCTTGCTATTTGCAGAAATAGTGATTAGTAATAGCGCCAAATCTAGGTATTTCTCTTGGTCAATATAAAGATAGTAAAAGAGGCAGCCTGGTAGAGTATGAAATTATTGTACAGCTTTCAGTGTCACGGAGTCCACCAATTTTTAGGTCACAGGATTCTATATGCTTATTAAAGAAAAGGGAATGGTTTAGTAAGAAAGAGGCTGGTGATGGTGATCAGCAAGAAATTACTTTGGAGTGGGTAGTTTAAAATATAAAGAACCTTCTTTCTATGTTTAATTGTTAACAACTAAAAAAATTGTGGAAAAAAATCCAATTTTGTACTGGTAGAATTCATTGCAGAGTAGGTATGCATGACAGGTAACGGGGGTAAGGATAAAGTAAGAAAAGAGAACACAAATGAATTAGAAGAACCAACTTAATCGCTATTATATCTGATATGAATCTTTTTTGGGGCTGCGTAGGAACACATCTCTGGGGTGGTAAGTTATAAAAAGAAACTGTAAAACTACTGTAAGCTCATATGTAACAGTTTGTTATATAAAAGTGGGGAAATAAATTATAGACAAATTGCCAAGCTATAAATTCGGTTGATTAAAACCATTCACACTAAAAATGGCATCCATATATTTTACAGATGATAGAACTAAAATTTTTTGTGAAAGATCTGCAATAAATATAAGTAAATGTACACTAGAAACGTTATATTACACCCTGAAAAATAATTTCTCTGTTCTTCCTCTAGACTATGTAATAAAGTTTTTTGCAATGTGCTTTATTTTCATGGAGGGAATAGAACTGAAGTCAAAGCATTTGGGAAGTAGCTCTCAG